ATTTTCAATGTCAGCCTTCTGATTTATCAATAATGCACTTTAGGTTTATAAAAAAGCCACTTGTAAATATACTGAGCACGCCTTTCATTCTGTGTAAAAGTACCTTTGAACTTATTCAAGGAGCGATTTGATCAGAAGAGTAGGGCTGATTAGCATTTTTATGCAGCTTTTTGATTTTACTACGGCGTTTAGAGGAACTCGTTCCACGAGACTACCTCCTTTGTCCAGATAAAATGGGATTGAGCTCTGATCCATCATATGAAAGTTACGCTCAGAAGTAGTCCTCATTCATTTAAATGCTTCAGGTTGACATCAACTTAAGCAGAATAGAGTAGGCCCACGAGTGTCTTTATCAGGCACTTAACATGAAATGAAATTCACCAGAGCAATGCTAATTTAGGAGCTTCCTCCAAAGTTAGTTGCACCTTGTATATACTATTAATTAATTATTAGGCTATTAATAAAGTCTGGGCTTCGGAAAATTACTTTAGAATGGACATGAAATTGAGAAAAACACATTTTATTACAAATAACATGATAGTTAGAAAGATAAATTTAATTAATACTCAAATGTGAAATAACAAAGGCCCAAATAATAATAGAGTGAAACTAAAATGAGATCAAATGCAATTCAGAAGGAGTTGGACCAACAAGCGTAGTCTCGAAACTCTGCTTACATACGAAACACAAGTAAAGTAGTATATTCTTATGAACAAAAGGAATCCGCCGCCCTCATCTGGTGGGATCGACCTTCGAATCTCTTAATCAAATCTTTCACTCGAAATGGAAGTAACCTCGACAGACGTTTACTCGAATTACATTAATAATGAATTTACATTAATTGAATTGAATAGTGGCGTAACATTATTTAATCTTCTTTGCTACGTCTCAACTCATTAATAACGTTTCTTGTTTTTTTAAATAAATGATGAAATATACATTGCTCTTGATAGCTGAGTAACACTTTCGCACCCCACTCTTGGTATGGTTTGTACTGCGATTCAACTGGATAGCAAAACCTTATGCAAATCGAGATTGAATTAAAGTCACTTGAATATATTTCAATAAAAGTTTACTTGTATCTACTGAAAGTTGAATGGTCTCAGTCACATCATCAATCACCTGTTAGTCATTAAATCATCTTACTGAGTTGAGTTTTACTGATTGCACCGAACACTACTCATTAGATTTTTAGCGAATATCTACTCTGGAAGTTCATATTAATTAATTAATTAATTTATTTATTTATTTATAAATTTCCAAATACTGCCGGGCGGACATTAGCTAGGCTAGGTTTGTGATGCATTATTTGTATTTCTTTTGCTGGCTCTTAATTCATTCTAACTCCTAATCTTACTACAATTCCGTCCCAGCTCTACTCGTCATTACGGTATAGGCGGAAGCTGTGTATTCAGTCCTGACAACCGATTACTGATAACAACCGGGACCGGCTGCCTCCTTCTGGTCTGGGCTACAGGGACCGGCCATCTGTTACAGCGACTCTGCCTGGGTGCTTCTGAATGTCTGATGTCGGGCCTCAGTATGGATGGAAAACTAATGATCGTACATCCGCCCGGCAACATGGCCGATTCCGCCATCACAACTTACAATAACAACCTTTCCCTTGCCTCTGTTGCCTTGGCCAACTG